AAAAATATTAAAATAGATTCATGCATAAATGAATTTATATTTTCTTTTACGAGTAATTTTTTTATTTTAAAAATATTTAATCTACCCTCATAAATATATTTCAGGATGATTATTTATACTCTAAATAACATTTCAACACTAATACTTTCCATGGCTAAGATCTTAGTTATTGTACATGATCATATAATGGTTGAATTAATTAGATTCAACAAACATAAAGTATATTACATTTGGATAAAATTTGATCATGATCTACTTAATTCTTATAATTACTTTGATCCAATGATTTATCTCTCTAATTATGTTATGTATTCTATTTATAATCGGTTTATTATGCACCTAAATATATATTGAACTGGTAAGATACAAGATTCTAAACCAAATAATCCAACTTGTTTTAGGTCTTAGCCTTGTTTCAAGTGAGGATCTATTTGATTTCATTCCATCAACGACATCCCAAGTATGTGCATTGAACCAAACTTGTTTATTAAAATCCCTCTCATATTTATTTTCAAGGCTGATCAACATACTATTATATTAACATTAGTTTAACGATGGATCATATCAATCAGTGGTAGATTTTACTAAAACCCAAGGATGAGATTTGGAAGCGTCTATCCTTTAGTAAATAGATTTAATACACCATCATACTGATATTTTATGTATAAATATGTCAAAACATCTAATAATTAGATATAATATACCACCATCATACTAATATTTTGGGTATTATATATTAGATGAGGTTTCGAACCCTTAATATCATATATCATTATACGATCAATGTTTCGGATGTACAAAAAATTATATTTCAAAAGTTGAATTGGTTTGGTACACCTCAATCTTTGGTAAATCAATATGATATATTATTACTAAACCAATAATATTAAGTATAAAAATATATGAAATGAGACTTGGAACACTTAACTATCGGCAAATGGAACTGGTATCTCGCCATTAAACTAATATTTGATGTATTGATACAATAAATAATTTTTTTAAATTTTATTAGTAAATAAATCTGATATATTATCACCAGACCAAATTTGAATTAAGTATAAATAATGAATTTAATAAAGATGAGATTTGATCAGAAGCTTGATAACTTTGATTATAATGGTAGCATCAACTAACTTGTAAAATGAGTCAAACTCACTCCACGCATCCCCCAACATGATGGAGGATCTATATATCTGGTATATACTAAGAATCTGTTTCTAAATTTTATTTTTGATGATATTTTTTCATCATTAAAAGAAACACATTCTTACCCCAAGATGCATTCACCATTAAAAATAGCACATTCTTACCCTTAGATACAGTGGAGTTGATATCTGCTCTTTCCTTAGATTGGAGCACTTCCCTTTTAAATATTTAGGTGCATCTATTGCCCCTCATTTTAAATATTTAGGTACACATGATCACCTTTTGCCAAAAAATTAAAGTTAAACTCATTTTATAATTATTTAAGAGGTCATAGTACTAAAGGGCTTCACCATATCAATTGGTCCCACTATCACTAATCCATGGGAGTAACAATAGTATTCGATGTTTTATTTTCCTTGGTTCTCTTGATACTTGGTCTCCTTTTTAACATCTTTTTGTTTAACCCATGAATAAATCGAGGGATGGTTTCTCTAAATATATTAGAAATAGGTCTTATTTTTTGATAATTCTTGAATGTTTAATATATCATTATCTTTAACCCTGACTTGATTGTCATATTTTGAGTTTAATAGAGGATACTATCGTGGATTTCCTTATCCAATCTAGGAGTTAGTATTCCTTGTTACTATTGGAGTGGTTTGGTTAGGAGTTGACTTCTTCAATTAATTTAATTAAAATTATTCGGTACATGATTTATGAGTTTAGGTTGTTCATGTGCAAGATGAGACTACATCTAAATATGCTTATTCTTTTTTGAAATAAAAGAATTGTACCCCAAATTTTAGTGAAAATGATTAACATGTTTTATAAAAACTTTTTATTGTTATTAAAATCCACATTTTTTTGTGAAAATTACTCCATCGATTGTAATTCCAACTTCATCAATCCTACTCATTAAGCAAGTTTAGGATTGCTGGTATCAAATTCTCCCGGCCTAATTTTGTCTTAAAGAATTTTAGAATATATGCTCTTAAAATAATTCCATCATTGACACTGGAAATCATTGCAAACCAACTTTGTTTATCCAAAATGCATACAAATCTCATAATAATATGGACTTTGTTAGCCATTATGCTAAGATCCATCTGGTAATAGAATAAATAATTTTCTATATGTTAAATAGAGTAAATCATATAGATTAAATCATATATATTTAAAATAATGTATTTAAAATAAATAATCATATATCCATTACGAAGCGTTGGCACTCGAATTTGGCTCGTAAGCTATTTTGGACCATTAAATCTAACTCCTCATTTCCATCCAACGTGTTAACCAATGGATTAAGTGTAATGTTCGTCGGACGATTTCGTTGCGCGCTGTCCGAATCACGAGGCCATATCCAACGGCGTTCACGAGACGCTCTCAGATCCCTTGCTCGGGAAAACACCAGCGGCGGGAGGTGGACCCCCACGCGACAGGTGATGGTTTGTCGTTAGATTACGTCAGGGGGAGTAAGTAAGTAACGAGATGATCAAAGGCGTCACGATTTTTAAGGCCATTCATTACGTGATCCCATCTCGTTGGCGGACAAGGCATGGAAAAGACGACGGCTGACGTACGACATGCACTGCCATCGGTGCCACGTCACAGTCTGCGAAGGATAAGGAGTACGACCGTCTCCAACCATGACCAGCGTCATCGTTTTCATTTCACGTCCATGGAATCATCGATCGGACTACTACATGGATTAAGTAGGTCGAACCCGACCAAGTTAGTATATTTGAATTAAAATTAAGAGCTAATGTGGCATGCATATGGCATGACGGGAGTCTTCAACTCTGCATTAACTTGCTTCGTCAGGAGACGTGCTGTCACCGGCTAATTGATGGAAGTGGCATCGTCGTCCACCATCGCAAGTGAGGTGGACGCGTCGTGTATAGTAAGTATTATTGATTGGTCCTTCGCTAAATTATGATGCCTTGTGAAGAGAGAACGCAATGATGGTGAAAGGTGCAGCTGAAGTGACTGATTTGATTATTAAATCGGATGTGCTGAAAAATTAAAATAAATTGATCGGTTCGAATGATTTTTGGATGGCCTGTATGAATGATTTTTTGATTGATTTGATTATTTTCATATTATTAACTTAGATGTTTTTTATTATTTTACTTAAGAGGATATTTAAGTCAATCATAAAATTATGATTATAATATATATATATATATATATATATATATATAATCAATCAGGTGTAATATAATTATTATAAATATTTAAAAATATTAATGGGGCGAGATGAGATGATAAATGTTTTGCTCGTATCATCTCTCATCCCCAATCCCAATCCCCATCCCATTCTCTATTTAGATAGGTTGGGAAATCCCCATTTGAGGTAAGAAATTATGGGTGCTTCACATTCTCATAATTAATTTTTAAAAAATAAATATATTGATCAAAACTAATTAATAACATTATAATTTATAAATAATAATATTATTATTTATATAATTCATATGCCATAAAAATATTAAAATATAATTATATACAAATATAAATAATAACATCTATTGATAGTATATCTTCTTGTTTAATTGAATCGAATGACTCGTAATTGATTCACGACCAACTCAACTAAGGCTCAATCCAATCTATTTTGAATTGGGTGGATGATTGGCTCATGTATTGAGCCCAATATCTTAATTCACGTATTGGTAAGTGAGTATCGGAAAGATAAGGAGTGCTTTAACCATGTGAGTAATAAAAATACTTTCCATCCCTATTTATTTATTTATTCCTATTATATTGGGAATAGGTCCGTATGGATACCTATATTCGTGAGTATAATTAATACCTCTATAAATATTTATGTTTATAATATTGGTTGATATTATTAGTATTATTTTTTAACAAAACTTGTATGTTTTAGTTAGTTTTAATATTTTAAATATTTATTATATGTTATTTTAAAAAGAATTAAATATGTGATCATATTTAGTTAGTTTTAATTAAATATGTTGCCTAAATGGCTTCCCAAAAATGGAAAATTATTGTTGACAGGAAAGCTTTCACCAAATTGTATACATGTATAAAGGACATGTATAAGTAAGATAAAGGAAGTTAGATTATGTAATCTTATTTAATTGAATAAGATATGTTATAAATTTAATTAGATTTTGATTATAATATTTAAAAGATATTTTGATGAAAAAAAACTCTTCTAATTATTTATTGTAGATTTTTTATTCTTATCTATGAATAACAAGAAATCTAGAAACTATAAATCTTATTTTTTTTCTCAGTCATTATTCTACAACTTATTATTATGGTCTTGATAAGAAAAGAGGAATTACGGATTATATTCTCGGATCAGATATATATATTTTTTTAAATCAAAAGGTACATAATTATGATCTTATATGTTATTATTTATTTTAGTTTTTGAGATTAAAATTTTTTCCACTGTTGTTAAAAATAATATAATTATAATTTTTATACTTACAGAATAAAAGAAGAAAAAAATACCTAATTAATATAACGATATAATAGTGCCACCTAAGCATAGTTAAATAGTATAATATAAATATTCCACGTTGATACTTTGGGACACCTCTAAGATGATCGTGCCTTCAAAGTTGGCCGCTTGATAAAACCTTTATCACGCAAACCTAATGGAAGATCTATGTGAGCAATCATACCATTTTTCCCCAAAAAAAGTTAGAAAACTCAGATGCACAGTTTCCAAATGTTGTAGAAAATTTTCAATATATATACTGAGGTATTAAAAAAAAAAAAAAAGGTAACATGACGAACGGATGCCAGCATACACAATTTCCATAAAAGACGAGGTAACGTCGATTAAGAACAAAAAACTCTTTTTATTTTCGCTAGAAACGAATCAACAAATCATTATGTTTTGCTCCTTCAAGGAGCCTCACCTTTTTTATTCTTTTATACTGTTACAAATGCTTGACATGTTCATTAACATCAATGTGGTTGTGTAATAATGCATGTGCACAACCTTCGATTTTACAAACATATACAGCTTAGTGGAACACTCGAGATGCTTAGAATTCACCTTCGATGAAACCCGGTCTCAGATCCTCATTGCACATGTGCAAAATCCAAAGGAAAAGAAACAAGGTGACCTCTCACTGACTGTAATCTCTCCATTGGATCCGTGTTTTTGATGGCTCCATTCTGATAGGCCTCCAGCTTCTCGAGAGCAATTCCTAAATCGATGGTTGTATTCCCAATTTTCTCCTTGCAGTAGTTGGTGCTTTGCCGGAAAGCAGATCTGAAGATATTTGATGTTGTCCAAAAGAAAGTAGCATGAAATATAATAGGAAAGCTGAAGCATAAAATAGTACCTGGAGTGGATAAGATCATTGGGGACACATGAAAAGACATCACGGTAGATCGTGGCGTTAGTCTGCCAAAGAAACAGAATTCAATACCTCTCATTGAAATAAAGCAATACAATTCAGATGATAAGCAGATATAGGCACCATGGCATATGCATTCTTTAGACTCCATAAGGAATTGCTTAATGAAATTGAGTTTCAGGATTGTCATTTCAGGGCACATGGGTACATGCTGAAAGTGTCACAGTACATGTATGTTGTGCCAAATGCCACCCTCCATTTGCAGGGTTGCACGAGCCAAAATTTGGGTTGGTCATGTGTCAGCATGATTGGCACATTTGAGCACTGCATAGCATGTTAAGTCTGGACCATACTCGATGCATGTCAAACCTTGCCAAACAGCATGACAGTCAATCTTGACTTGTTCAAGAGATAAATCACTTATTCTATAAAGAAATTTCATGAGGAATGCTTGTTTCAAATGTTGTCTCACTTGTCACAAAAAGACCAAGCCAAAAACTGATGTATGTTCAAAAAATTGCTAGTTGGCTATCCGGATATACTTGCCTCGCATCAACATTAAGCAATTTTAAACACATCCTCTTCTGCGTTCCTCTTCTGCGTAAATGCGTCCAACACTTTTGGCAACAAGACTTGGTGACATCTTGTAAATAAGTGAACAAGCATAATGAAGATGAAACACTGCTAAATGTATGGTCATCTCAAACAAATTTCGGAACAAAAGCACCAAGCACATTAAGTTGTATACATTTATAGCTATTATCTCCCAGAACCACCAGTAGTAGCTAGCATGATTTCTTTTGGCTTAAGATATTAATAATGTAGAATGATGAAAGGTTCAGTATTGCTATTTAAATATTGCAATGTTAAGAAGAAAAATAAAACTTCCCTATCATGACAAGAGAAGGATTGAAATTCAAGCATCATCAAACGCAAACCAAAGATGATTGTTCTACACTTGTTTGACTATAATATATTGAGGTGGAAGGAAAATATTCTGCACAACTGATAATTAATCTTGGAAATTGGAATAATATAAGATGACTTCTGGATGATGAGCAAAGGTAATCAATATGTTTTGAGAAAAGAAATGGACTGAACTACCACTAAAAAAAAGGGTTCTACTAAAGATTTTGGTTTCCTCACCTTAGCAGTCGCCATCCGGACGTCCCTGTATGTTGCATCGGCGACAGGATCCTGAATCTGATTGATCTGTCAAGAAGCAAATCATAAACTTAAAAAATAAAACACAAGAACTGATAAGCATGTAGGATGTTTCTATTCAATTTTATGTGTCAGACACATCTTCCAATATTGACCAGATGCATCAGTCCTCACAGTGAAGTTTCTATTTAAGAAGTTATCTTCAAACCAGATACATCTTCCTTGTGGCGCACAATTAAAAGGAGCTCACTGTAAGATATATGTGGATATTACGATGTAGTTTGGTGTCAGATAGGAACACTCAAAGATATGGTCTCATTATGATATGACTTGGGATGCAACTACATATCTTGAAACCAGAGCACTAAAATTGCTCAGAATCAGAGCCAAAGAAAAAGTTATGAATGGCATCCAAAGTTTACAAACCTGTCCAACACGGGGACCCAGGTGTTCCAGCCACAGTGAGAGGCGAAGACTACGAGAAAAATTTCCAGCTTTCCATGGTTGTCCATCCATAAGTAATTCAACAAATTCTTTATCTTCTATAAGCACATCGATCTGAGCAAATAAAGGCATGCCACCATCAAAAGGGAATGAAATCAATGTTAAAAAGCAATTAACCATATACAACGAAATAATGTCCTAGCATAAAAACATCAATAAGTTAAAAGGCAGGTGGCACAGACCCGACTAACTGAAACAAGCTCCAGCAACATCTGAAGTAAAGGTTTTTACTGTTAATCTTTTTTGACAGTTGGATGCCTGAAACCCACTTAAACATAAAGCTCAACATCATGGACATCCATGGCATAATTATCTTTTATTATACATTTTTGTATAACTTACTGCTGTCTGCTGGTACTCTACAAGAAGGGGAAAGTTTCAGCATAACCTACTAGCAATAGGAATGCCTCCAAATCATATGACATCCATCAATCACATCATAGAAATAAAGCTACTAATTTTTAATGGTAAATAAACCTACTAGCAATAGGTAAATTATGTTTGTCCTTCAAGAGCCACCATGCAAAAGGTAAAACAGAACAAACAACAATCTATTAAACATTCATCTTTTACTACTCGAATTATATGAACATGAACAAGAAACAAACTACAGAGTATTCATCATTTATTACCACAAGAAAAGTACATTGTTGATTAAAACTAAAAAAATTGGTCAAGGCATGTTCTCAATGAAAATAGTGAAGTTACAGAATTAGGACAATCTAGGTAACATAATATCACTAGCATTTTTTTCTAAACATTATATATTTTTTAAGTATAGAAAGTCAAATAAATCTTGGAATCTCTTGATCCTAGCAAGCTTCTATCATTTATATTAGCTGAACCAACCAATGCAACTTGATCATCAACTATCATCAATTTTCTGTGCACATATACCTGAGAGAAACAAATGCCATTAACAGAAATCTCAAGCAATAATATCTCTCAGAAGAAAGGAAAAAGATCATGCAAAATAGAAAACATCCCTTACGCAACTACAGGTCATAAAACAGAATATTCACTTCTATAAGAAACAATTGCATGGTAGAATGTCTATGCAGATCAAGGACACCATGCAGGAAAGGTTTGATGACAAATAGATCAATAGTTGAAGCATGAACAAAGGCACCTCGAGCAAATAGATCTTATACTTCATAACTCCAGCATGTTCTCCCATACAAACACAAGGAAAGGAGACACAACTATACTGACCATTCATTTTTTTGCAGTAAATTCTACCATTAGCATGCATGACACGGGTCAAAATAGTACAAAGCTTTACTAGTTCACTTTACATGTGCACAAACATGGTTATCATGCACTGCTGAATAGTTCAACCTGATAGCATGCATGGATCCTGATTAATAATAGTTCATTATTGCATATTTCACAGGGCCTGTGGCTAAAAAGTAAAAACTACATAAACAAGCATGTGATTGAGGCATTCTTAATTTCTTAGAATGCCATTATTCATGAACCTAAAATAACTAATTTTGACAGGAATGTTGAGTTTGAAATTATAAGGTATAATGACACATTACGGAATTTGGAGAACAAACTGAACTTTCATGTGGCTGAAGCATGCTTAATTTTGTTGCTGAGATTTACAAATCTTCAACTATATTTAAATGAAAATTATATTTGAAATACGACGAAAGGCATAAGGAATACAAGATTATAAGATAATAGTGTGTGAAAACTGAAAAGGATAAGATGCTTACTTAAAGAACAAGTGAGAGATAAGCTGCATATACAATTGCACCAAGAGTGGCATTACTAAATAAGATGATATATAAATGTAAAGGGCTTCACCTGATTAGCAACCAAGGGACCTCCATCACAAAGTCTTCCATATGCTCGAACACCATAAATATATCAATTTAACAATGAAAGAGCAAACATTATGAGTTTGAACTTATACCAACTCCGATGAGGGGGAAAGGCATTGCACCGTCCTTCTAACCAAGGATTTTAATTTCGAATACTGCCCATACTAGGCGGAACATACCGGTTCGCCATCAGACCGGTACGCGGACCGCCTGCTACCGAGTGGTACCGTCGATTGGGGTTGTTTCCGCCCCACTACCAGGTGGTATTAGCCGAAAGAAGAGGGAGAAGAAAAGGGAGAACCTGAAGATCTTGCGCTGCTCTCCCTCGACGATCCCGATCGGTCATCGCCCACCCTCGCTGGACGCCGCAGATGAGATGTCACGTCCTCCTCGTTTGAGGCAATGAGGCCTCGACGTCGTCGGTGACTTCTCATCCGCGCAAGGAGAAGAAGCCTCGATGATGTCGTGGGGAGAAGAAACCGAGCGTCATCGGGAGAAGGAAACCTCAGTTTCTTCTCCCCACGCAGGTAGAAACACTAGGCGACGTCGCCTCGTCGCCCTGTTTTGCGTGGGGAGAAGAAACTTCTCCCACACAGGCAGTATATATATATATATATATATATATATATATATATATATATATATATATATATATATATATATATATATACACTGAGCAGTACGCCAGAATGTACCGCTCGATATACTCGTACCGTACCATACCGAGCTAAACTTGAAACTCCAGTACGGTACGAAATTACAAACCTTGCTTCTAACT